GCCCAGGCCTGTGGAGCGACCATGGAGTGAGTGGCTGAAGCAGGCTGGGGCATAAGTCATGTCACACAGAGACTTGGGGCATAAGTCGTGTCACACAGAGACTTGGGGCGTAAGTCGTGTCACACAGAGACTTCTCATGACCACCCTCATAGGTGCTGTCAGCAGGCATCCCCGGCTGTGCCACAGCACGCGCTCAGGGCAGGCCTTCCACGTCTGCTGCAGAGCCCAGCTGCTGTCGTGGCTGTTTAAAGACAAGCACGAGGATCCCACGACAGCGATTGACCAATTCCATCTCAATCAGGGAAGAGAAGCCACCTCCTCCCCAAGGTCACCTTCTGAGTGAGAGGTATTTGTCAGCCTGTCAGGGGCAGCTTTGGCCTCGAGCCTCTGAGTCAGCTGCCTCTCGGCTGCTATCTTGGGGGTCAGTTCAAATTACTCAGCCTGCTTCATCCAAGCCTTCTGGGCTCTTCCCAGCATCCCGCTCCCTTCCAGGCCACAAGTGACCTTCTTCTGTCCTTCAAGTCTCCTTCCATCTGCATCCTTCCCTGTTCCCAGCCCCCACCCTCATCCTCAGCACCCTCATCCCCCCACCCCACCACCCCACCACTCCACCCCCGGGCTTCTCTTGCTCTCTGCAGCTCTCCCACCCCACCCCCACAAACTGTCCACGGGAGGGCTTGGGGAAACTGGTTTGGCAGTTCTTGGCTCTACCTCATTCCCCACTCGCTGCCCCCGCCCCGCCCCGCCCCGCCCCGCCCCGCCCCACCCCAGCAGGTTTTAGCAGCGTGCTTGCATCCAGCCAGCTGGACCTCAGCTTCTTCCGCCTGTCACTCCCCTGGTACCTTGGCGCTGGACTCCTTCTGGTCTTCGCTGCTCACCAGGGAGCGGGCTTCTTTGGCACGGCTGGGGGAGAATGCTGTCGGAGTAGAGGCGGACTGTGACGAAGCCAGGGGCTTTGGGGGGCCTTCGGCAGACTTGGCTTTGACGGCTGGGACCAAAGGCTTTGGCTCTGAGAAGTCAAGAGCAGGGACAGAGCTGAGGACAGTGGCACCCTGGGCTGTCAGTGGGGCCCTGCCCCTGTGGCTGATGGACGACTGCGCAAGTCCTCATTCCTCAGTGCCCCTGGTGCACACTTCCCTGATGGGGAAGTTAGGTTTACTCTCCAGAGCAGCACTGCCAGGGAAGCCAAGGGCCATGTCATTCTCCTTCATTCTCTCACTCACTCACTCATTCATTCAGAAAGCAAGCGCTGAATATTTTGTTCTGAGAGGAGAGAAGGTGGGAAAACAGAGTCAAATAAAACACACCTGTTTATACCACTCCAGCAGAACTGGGAGGGGCCAGAGAAATTTTGAAAACTAGACTAACCCTCCCACTTCACAGATGGGAAAACTGAGGCCCAACAACCTTCATTTCCAAATATCAGTTCCATAAAATCTCATCATCACTCTATATTTTCCCAATCAATGGATTTAAAGGTACGTCGTTTTTAATAGAGAGAACAGGGATGGGTTCCTTAATTTTCTCCTGCCCCTAAATTTGGTCACTCATCACCTGGAGAAAACCAGCTAACCAGGGGTTCCTTGGAAGTGGGCAGCAATCTGGGGGTGCTCAGGGCTGGAAAGGGCATTTTGTGTCTGTGTTTTGTCCCTGCCAAGCCTGCCTCTCAGGCCTGGCTCCATGTCCTATCCCAGAGGAATGTCCTGGACAACAGCCTGTCCCTCCGCCAGCTGCCTCACCTTGCTGAGCTGATTAGTCAGGGACCTGCCAGGAAGTGGGTCACCCTCCTGCCAGCCAACACAGCAGCCTGAGCTCAGAATGCCCCTCACAGGCTGTGGCCTCTCCCCCCACCCCCAATCACTCTCCAGCCCTGGCACAGCCCCCTGCACCCCACGCCCTCTCCAAGGCGGATCATCAGCCCCGAAGGGATGACCTTCTACATCCGCTCTCCTCCCTCCTCCCTGCTTCCCTTTACCTCTCCCTCCTCCTTCCAGAAAGCTGCTCTTCCCCCACCTGCACCCCGCCCCTCTTCGGTTGGCCTGCTCTCCTGACCTTTGAATTTGCTAAGAGCAACTGTCTGAGGTTTAGGAGAGGTGGTTTACTGTCACGCTCTGACCAGTGAGGACATCTCGATGCGCTTACCACAAGGCAAGAAGCCTCTGCTTGGTGAGTCAGGCCCACCCTGCCCCGGTGCAAAGCCACTGCAATAGTGACAGGGCTGCTTTCCGGCTCCGAGAGCACTACTGGGAGCTCAGTGAGCATCAAGGTGACCTGCACCAAATCAAACTATTCAGCCAGGTTCACCAAAAGAACAGCACGTCACCAAAAGAACAGCATGTCTCCCTCGTCTGGACTGCCAAGAGCTACATGGGTTGGTGTGCATCCCGGTGCTCTGTAGAGCAGATGCCGATAAGAACGGCTGCCTCCCTGGTCCCTGGTACAGGCTTGTCACCACTCTGTAGTGTGGTGACATCTTCCCCATCTGTCTGTGAAACGAGGGAGCCTCAAGTCTCAGATGGCCTAATTCCATAACCCAGTCCGTGGATGCAAAGAACAGAAACAAGATGAGTGCTCATGGGGCTACGTACCCAGAGATGTCGGGGTCTTCTCTAGAGGCCCATTCTTGCAAGTCAGCCTTAAAGGAAGAGAGAAAAGAACCGTGTGAGATCCAGTTAGCCAGAGACACTGTGGCGAGAAGCCTGGGGGGGGGGGCAGTGAGATGGACAGAGAGATGGGAGCTTGTTTCCCTGGCAGAGTGGCAGGAGATGTAGCTCCTTAAACAAAGACTGGGTCGTTGATTACCTGTCAGGCGTGCCTGGGAGTCCAGGCACAGTGCTAGGTGGGTCCCTGGCAGTGCAATCATCTGTTTCCTAGGTACAGCATCCACATGAAAACTGCTGTCTTAAACTAGACCCGTGTCTTTGACACTCAGTTCCCGACACAATCCCTGCTTTGGCCCGCGCTTCATGGCAAGTGTTTTAGCTGCTAAGCCATCTCTCCTTCTCCTACTGCCCACCACACTTTAAAAAAATGTGTGTATAGCACCGGGAGGTGGTGGCACACACCTTTAATCCCAGCACCCGGAAGGCAGAAGCAGGTGGATCTCTATGAGTTCAAGACAAACCTGTCTTACAAGAGCTAGTTCCAGGACAGCCTCCAAACCACAGAGAAACCCTGTCTCGAAAAACCAAGAAAAGTGTGTGTGTGTTGTGTGTGCCTATTGCATCAGGGTTTCCTTGTGGGGGCGCGTGTGTGGGAGGTACATGTGCAAGTATGTGCGCGCGTGTCTGGAGGATCAGGGTTGATGCTGGGTGTCACCCTCCATCACTCTCCCCCTTACGCTTTGAGGCACTGAACCCAGAACTCACTGTCCCAACTAGAGTGGCTACCCAGCTTGCCCTGAGGACTCCATCTCCTCCTCTCATACACCGGGGACACAGGATGGACCATGATGACCACCAGATCTCATGTGGTTTAGGGACCCAGCTCTCAAGATTACACTGCAAATGCTTTGCCTGCCAAGCCATCATCCCAGCCCCACGGTGACCCTATAAAGTCAGAGCTTGTTTAGTCCCTGGGTCTAAGAGTTTTTGATGACACTGCGTTGCTTCAAGATGGGGGTTACATCCCTCCGGAGGGCACTCATAGGCCCCTCAGACAAGCCGAGTCTATCTCACAGACAATGTCTTCATAGCTGTCATTCCTCCCTGTGTATCTTCTCCTCCATCTTACACTGTCTCCCCGCTTCAAAATTCCTCTAAGAAGTCATCCCAGCTTGATTGAGACACTTTCCTGTTGGGCTTCCCAACATAGTGGGCAGCCTTCTCCTCTCCTCCAGTCTTGGACTCAGTGGTTTGCACACGAGTCTCTCTCATCCCCAAAGAATTATTTACCCTGGTTTCCAAAGCACCTAGCAGATAGTAGGTGCTTAGTAGTTTTTAAGTAAATGAATGATTAGGTGGGTGAATGAATGAATGAAGTGGCCACAGAATGGTGTTCCCATCCATTTGCTAGACAGCCTTACAGAATTGCAGACAGACAGCATAAGGTGGGTGTTTCTATGTGACTAATTCATGCCAAGCACTAACCTTAGCATCACAGGTTTTTGAGATACAGCCCCTGTCCTATAAAGTGCCAAATTAAAGAATAGAATGATGTTTAAACAAGACAAAATAAATAAAATGAAGACACGAGAATCTATTTAAGTAGCCAAGGTTTGTTAGTTAAATCAATGAAGCAATGGAATTTAGGTGGGGGTGGACAGGTAGTCATGTCATATGGACAAGGCAGAGGTGGTCACTTCCTGTCCTTGCCAGTCATGGAAGCCAGGTGAGGCGGGGGCAGAAGGACAGTGCTGCTGTGCAGGACAGAAAAGCGCCACACAGGGACTGAGGCTCTGGTTTGGGAATCAGCAGGCCCACAAAGGCGTGGGAAGGACCCTGTATATAGTGCAGGAGGAGAGTAAGATGTTCCCTGTGCACAGCACAGGAGGAGGGTGAGATGCTCCCTGTGTACAGCACAAGAGGAGGGTGAGGTGCTCCCTGTGTACAGCACAGGAGGAGGCTGAGGAGCTCCCTGGGTTCAAACCAAGCAGGCTGCTCTCAAAAGCTGCCGGCAGCAAGAGGTGAAGGAGACGGTCATAAAGGGTGTGTGGGGACTGAAGATGTGGGGGGGGGCTGGACAGCGAGGGGCAGATGAGGACCTTTGGGGAGAAGCTATGAAGCAGCTAGGAGTGGAGAGTGGGAGGGAATGGCAGGGACAAGAGCCAGGTGGGTACTTCCGGGTATTCTGTTGTTGCAGGAGAGACATGGGGAGGGGCAAGCTGGGGGCGGGGGGTGGTGGGGGGGAGACCAAGAGCACAGGAAGCCAGAGCCAGACTGCTGAAGGTGCAGGCAGATCCTCCATGGAAGGGCATTCTGGAGAAGCACAAGGAGCCTCGTGTTGCCATGGTAACATTTTACACTCCCTTTCTCCCTACTTCCTCTAATGCTGACCAGCATCAGCCATGAGAAACCAGAGGTTCCCAGTGAGAGTGTGGGTCCCAGGGAGAGGCCAGGCCATGGGCAAAGTCACCCAGAGCACCTGATCCTGGAGGTCATGGGCACAGGTAAAGGCTCCAGAAGATAACCAGAAGTTTTCCAGGACGGGTAAACTTAAGTGACAGATGAAAAGGGACGCGTAGGAGCCTGCCTGGAAGGTCAAGACACGGGTCAAACCAGAGAGGAGAGGGCCGAACAAAGTCTGAGGGCTGCCACAGTCCAGAAGATACGAGAAAGTCAAGTCGTGAGACGGGAGGAAAGGACCTGGGCAGAGCAAGGTCTCCACCATTAATGCCGCAGCGAGGAGAGGCATCCGGGCAGGAAGAGGAATGAACGGTAAGAAGGAGGAGGTGAACTGTGTGTGGAATGGGAGAGCTCCCATCCAGGAGCAGGGGCATGGACACATTCCTGCATCCCAGGAAGCCCCGAGAAAGATGGGGACATCTGGCCAAAGAAATGTGGAAGGAGGATATGGCAACTATATGTAGTGGTTCACGTGAGAAACACCTCCCGTGGACTCAGCGTTTGAATACTGGGTCCAGGGTGGGTGGCAACGTTTGGGTAGGTTTAGGAGGCGTGGCCTTGCTGGATGACCACTTTGGGGTGTCAAAAGCTTTGCGCTATTCCCAGTGCTTTCACTCGGCTTCCTGCTTGAGGACCAAGATGTGAGCTCTCAGCATCCTGTGCCACCATGCCCGATGCTTTCCCACCATAACGGACTCTTGACCTTTGAAACGTAAGTGCAAGTAAACTCTTTCTTCTGTAACTTGCCTTGGTCCTGTGGTCTTTTATCATAGCAATAGAAAAGAAAACTAATACAGGCTCAGGGTCGATGAGCGTATAGTCAGACTCACGCACATCCAGAGACACATACACTCACATATGTGTGTACATGCTCACACATATACACAAACACGATCATAAACATACACTCACAGGCATGTGCATATGAATTCTTACTTCTTCTGACATGTCTGGGCTGGCCACTGAATGCTGAGAGCCATTTAGAAGGCTCTGCCTGTCTTCTTTACAAGATTCATAACAACACTGAGCCTCTGCCCCAACTGTTTCTGGGTATAAAGACCCCTCTTTTTTTTTTTTTTTTTTTTTTTGGTTTTTTTTTTTTTTTTGGTTTTTTTCGAGACAGGGTTTCTCTGTAGCTTTGGAGGCTGTCCTGGAACTCACTCTGTAGACCAGGCTGGCCTCGAACTCACAGAGATCCGCCTGCCTCTGCCTCCTGAGTGCTGGGATAAAGACCCCTCTTTAAGCCCAAAAGTTTTAGGGAAAACCCATATGCTCACACATGTGCATACACAAACATGCACACACATGAGCATACTCATATATACATGCTAATGGTGGTGGTTTTAGTAACTATCAGTTAAGAAAACACATAATAATAAAGACCCACCGTGAATTTGACCATACCCTAAAACAGTTTGTACTTTATTCATCACTATGACAACCATAGTCATTAAGAAACTAAAAAACAGGCCTCCCACATCACTTGCCACGTATGCCTTCGTGGATCAGAGAAGTCCCCAACATCTGTGCTATGGCCTCCATGAGTCTAGGGTTTGTGGGTGGGGCATTTTACCTTAAACTAACCTAGGACCTCAAAGCTGTACCTACCATGGTGACTCAGCAATGAAGAACCCAATGGGGCTGAGAGGGTGCACAAGTTACAGGAGAGATGACTACAAACAGACCTGAGATTTGAGGTTGGCTCCTTACCGCGTATGTGGGACCCTTGGTCCTGTAAGCACATCCTGGCCTGGACCCAAGGGGCTGGGCAGGGAGTCAGGCCTGCAGGAAGAGGTCCCTGTGGGCAGCCGGGCCTTCGGAATGGGCGGGATCACGATGCCTCCTAGAGACTTGTGCATCTTCTCATCATTGCAATGCAGATATTGCCTGGAGATCTGTACCTGGAAGGGGAGGGGAGCCTGGTCCTCGGAAGCATGACTCACTGTCTCCCAGTGACCTCACACGGAGTGTGAGGAGCCAGCTGGGGAAAGGGCCTCTTAGCCCCAGCCCAGCCCCTCTGGAAAAGCCAATCTTTCCCAGTCGCTCTAGGTGGGAAGACTAACAAGCTCTCCTGTGTTTTTTATTACTGTTTGGATTTTTCTATCTTCTCATTTCAGAAGAACCTGTGACTATCAGAGCAGGAAAGGACCCTCTAAAATACCCGACTCAAAGTTCTGCTTTCACAGATATACAAAATAGAGCTGGTGGGGGTGGTCCCCCATGCCAACTCACTGGCATTAAACAAGAGATAACCAGAAAACCAGGCAAGTCCTGAGACATGAATACCAGGGAAACCCTGGGGGCCCCCAACTCTAGGATGGACAGCCTTGCAGCCCCTGTATCTCTCAGACGCTTCCCTCCCACCAAACTCCCGGGTTAGCTGTGGAGGTCTGGAATACTACGGGGAGAGGAGGTGAGATGGCAGCCCCGAGCCTCTCTCGGTGCCATCCTGATCTTGATGGCTGTCCTGAGACACTTGCAGAGATGCACAGAGCATGGGACAAGAGCTGGTAAAGAAAGCAGGCAGAGTAACTGCAGTAAAGACCGGGGCCGCGGAGCCTCTTTACCTCCTGGGCACTGGCTCCCGAGTCCTGGAGGACATGTCTGCCCCCAGGAGGGTCCAGGTCATTCTCCTTGGCACTGCTGGCCTCAGGGGTGGTGGGGATGCTCTGGATGGGGGGCATTGGCCTGGCCACCCTCAGCAGCCTCTGTGAGGCGGTACGGGGGATGGTGCTCCTCAGAGGTCCTCCTTTGGGACCTCCTCCAGGACCTGGAGAGGCTGGGCAAGGTAAGATGCAGAATGAGTTAGTATCTGGAGCACGGGGAGTGGAGGGGGATTGCCATGCTAACATAGGACTTGTGTCCTGAGAGAAGCAGGGATGCTGACGGGAGAGAGCAGGGCTCGCTCGCTCCAGCCCTACGCCCCACACCCACCGGAAGACCAGAAAAGCGGCCGGGGATTTAAGGGTCCCTTTTCATTTCCATAGAATTCGGTAGAAATGAACATCAGAGTCAAAGAGGGTAGCGTGGAGAGACAGAGAGCAGTGGTGGGCTAAGAGAGGGGGCAGCCGGCCCTGGCTAGAAGCTGTGTGACCCTGCCTGTCCCTAACTTCAGATCTAAAATGTCCCTCCTCAGATTCACGTCTGCAGTACTTTCTCCCCAGCTGGCTGTGCTATTTGGAGCAACTGTGGAGGCTTTAGGAGATGAGGACCAGCCGGAGGAGGGCAGAAGTAGGTTACTCAGGAGAGAACTTTGAAGGTTACAACCCAGACCCCGGGTCCAGCCTCAGCTTCCTGGTTTATGAACAGCCTCGGATACATGCACCCACTGCCGTGAACGGAGCTACCCCACCCTGCTTCCCCCACCCCAGCTTGGAAGTGTGAGTCAAAATAAACCTTTCTTCCCTTCAGCTGTTTCTGCTCTGCGTGCTGGTCAGAGATGTGAGCGTAATAAGGTATCCACCGAGACTCAAGGAATAGACCCCATAGAGTGCCAGCCGAGCTCCTGGTGAATCCCAGTCGTTCTATGCACTTACACAAGATGCCAGTCTGGTGCCAGGCAGACACAGGTCGATTCCTTCTCCCTCCTCACTTCTTCAGATACCAAGGCGGGGTAGAGCTGCCTTGACATTCCTAACCTAGCCTAAAAGACACGCTGCCCCTCTTCCAGCATTTTTATACTTTATCCTCCCCGCCCCCTGCCTATCCCGCAGAGCAGCACCCCATCAGTAGAAGCCCACTGACCAGCCCCAGCGGACCCCCAAGAGCCTGAACACCTACTGATCCTCACAGCCTGGGTGACCTGGAGTCCGTGACCTCAGAGCCGCTGGTGGCAGGGTCACGGCTCACCTTGAGAAGATGCTGCCGTGCCTTCTGAGAGCCGCCTCTTCTTGAGCTTGTCCTTAATCTGGATGGTGTCCCGGGCCACACTGCTGGCCTCTGATTCCATGGAGGGGATAGCTCCCACAGGGTGGGGCCCCAAGGCCAGAGCTCCGAGGTTCCTGGGGTAGCCATTCCTGGCCTGCCAGCCTATCAAAGGCGCATCCAATGTGTGGCTACCCTGGGCCTTGTGTCCGCTCAAGAGTTGTGATGGCTTCTCACTGCTTAGGACATTTGACACTGGCTGCAGAGAGGCTGAGAGAAACAGAGAGAGGATGGCTTCTCAGCCAAGACCCCAGGTGGCACTAGGCACCAGCAAACTTGTTAGTATTGCTTCCATAGCCAGCCATATGCCTGATGCACCCAGTCACTCTGTGTTTCGGTCATTCCTGGGAGCCATTTATAGATCAGTGGTGCCATGAGACACCTAACCCCGAATGAGACCCACATCATGAAGTCTTCCAGGAATGAAAGGGGATCTGTATGCAGCCTTATTGCAGAATGAGCAAGAAATGCTAACTACATAGGAAAAAGGCTCTCTGCCCAGGGAACACATTCAGCAGACTCCAGGACACAGCCTTAGAGGACTGACAACAATATCAATGGGTCTTCAGAACAAGTCATGCTCACATGTAGACTTCAAGCCATGCAATTTCTCCTTCATCCAGCATTCAATAGACACTGTCAGTGTGCAGAGCATTGTCCAGTCAGTGGAGGGACAGAGATGAGTGGAACACAGACTTTGTGATTAAGGGACTTTCAATATGATATGCTGTTAGTGGGTTCAAGGTAAATATGAAATATGCCCTAAGTTATGGAGAGACATGTTCAATGCACTTGCTGTTGTGATGATGTAGAAGGTGTTGGTGGACTGTGGGGCCCAAAGGGGTCCTAGAACCTAGAAGAGCAAGGGGAATCGTGGGCAGGGAGCATGCAGAGGCACTTCCATGTTGTTTCACTTCCTGGAACCCCTGGACATAACCCCTAAGACCTGATGCTCAGAAGTTGGAGTGTAGCTGGCATACAACCCACGGATGGACAAACTCCTGGACCAGCCACAACCCTGAGATAATACAACTTCCCAGAACCATGGAAGCTTCCACTCAGAGCAAAGGGACTGAGCCCTGCCCTGACAGTCTATAGACAGACAAGAGAGCAGAGAGTCCGGGAGCAGAAGGTGACACAGGGCCTGAGCGGAGTGTAGGCAACCACCAGAGCAGAGCCGCCATGTTCATGACCTCATCTCCTGCCACGCATGCCCCGCTGCCTTCCTAAGCCCGAGGTGCAGGCCCCTGGGGAGACTGGCCCTGTCCTGCTGGAGTCTGAGGCGTCCCAGGTTCCCAGAAGAACTAATCCACACCAAGAGCACCACCTTCCCAGCCCTGGGTCTCCCTCAATGACCCTCATCACCTAAGGAGACTTTTGTTTGTTTGTTTTACTTTTTGTTTCAGTGGTTCTGTTTGCTTTTGTTTTGTTTCATCTCTACTCCTTAATTAAAATAACTTCTAAAACTAGGCATCACTCCACACATATAAAAGTTGGTATATAAATGTCTTGGCAGATTTAAATGGTCACAAGTGCATAATTTCCAGTTTTTAATTTCATTTTGTTTTGTTTGTTTTTCGAGACAGGGTTTCTCTGTGGCTTTGGAGGCTCTCCTAGAACTAGTTCTTGTAGACCAGCCTGTGTCTCGAACTCACAGAGATCCGCCTGCCTCTGCCTCCGGAGTACTGGGATTAAAGGTGTGCACCACCACCACCCAGCATTTTTTTTCTTTTAGACAAAAGTCTGTGTAACCCAGGTTAGCCTCAAACTCATTGTGTGGCTGAGGATGACTTTGAATTCTGCTCCTCTACTTCTTCCAGGAGCATTTTAAACAAGGGCCATGATACAAAAACACCTGCTATATAGTTTGAGAATGTGCAAGCATCCAGATACCATTCCATCTCCTCCAGGCTGAGTTCCAGCTCTGTGGTCAGTGGCCTTGCCAGGGCAGTTTCTAGAAAATCATCTCCCGTCCCATGCCAAAGACCCCAGAGAGGCCACCAAGGTCACTGGTGGTGACCCAGTTCCCAGGCCAGGTTCGTACCTTCACCATAAGCAAGAAGACTAGAGTCTATGCTTCCAGGCGGGGGCACTCGGAGCCCGACACTAGTCCGAGGAACACTCCCACAGTACACAGCCACCGGAGCCAGAACTTCAGCTGGGAAGAGAATCACAAAATAATGGTACCTTAGCGTCCTCTGTGGCCAAAACTAGGGCATAAAGGAAGGATAGGAGTACATACACCCACACGCCCACTACCGTTCTCCACTTGGGGTCTCTAGAAGAACGAAGGGCAGAGCCTGGTCCATTGGTGGGGGTACCAGCCAGGAAGTGACCTCAACAAGTCCCATAAACCCTACCAGCCCCAGCCTCCCTAGTATCCCTCTCATCAAATTCTTCCTGCTTCCTCTCTCATGCCTGATTTCTCCCCTTCTGTCTGTCTGTCCGTCTGTCCCTCCCTCCCTCCCTCTCTCTCTGCTCTCTCTACCTCTGTCTGCTCTTTAGCTGCTTCCAGCTTTGGGTCAAGCCCTTTGGTTAGGTTTTTCTCCAGCCTCCTCCAGCAGCCAGTGAAACTGAAGCCTGCTGACCCTAATCCTGACTTCTGTCACAGTGTGTCTCAGTGCTCTCCCTGGACCACCCTCTGATACCCATCACAGGCAACGAACTTACCTGAGAAGCCTTGGTCTTGGCAAAGCCCTGATTCAGAGCATCTATCACCTGCCTCGTTCTTAGAGGGCCTCAATCAGTAATCTCTAGTCTTCCCCCCCACAGCCTCCCTGATTTAACAAATGGCACCCTTCGCTCCTAGTGCCTGCACCGCGCAGGGACTCTGGCCTGTACACATTGACCAGAGGGTAGCAAGGCTGACCCAGTAAGGAGATTGGAAGGCCAGTGGCAGACAGATGTTGAAAAATAAGCAATGACACAGTAAGCCCCAGTAAGGGAAGAGATGAAAAGGCTTCCCAGTAGGAGAGGAACCAGAGCAGAAGCCAGGGAAAGAAGAGGGTGGCGGCTAGGGGACCACCCCTTTAAGAAGCCTTCATCGAGCCTACTACTACTATTAGTGAAAGAAACATAGCACGGCATGGTGCTGTACCCCTGGGTCAGAACCCTCATCAGGGAAACTTCTTGAAGTGGGTGGGATTTAATACAGAGACCCACGACTGGACAGTGTACCGGGAGCGACTTCGGAACACTCCATCCTAAATGAGATGTCTTCACCGAATCCCTCCTTTAAAGGCTCAGGGATCCTCGGGGAAGAGGAGGCAGAAAGGTTGTGAGAGCCAGAGGAAGTGGATGACTCCAAGAAAGGTACGTCTTCCAGACGCAACAGGGTTGACACACATGCCAACTCACAGAGACTGTGACAGC